GATTTTCCAAAGATAATAGCTAGAGGCTCAGATACCTCCTCTATTAGCTCCTTGAGTATTCTAGGATGCATTTCATCAGGCCCTGGTGACTTGCAGGCATCTAACTTTTCTAAGTGATTTTTAACTTGTTCTTTTTTTATTTTATCTGCTAAACCTACCCCCTTCCCATTGGCATTCACTATGTTAGGCATTCCTTCAGACTTCTCGGTGAAGACCGAAACAAAAGTCATTAAGCATCTCTGCCATTTCCAAGTTTCCTGTTACTGTTTCTCCCTCTTCACTAAGCAGTGGGCCTACCCTGTCTTTGGTCTTCCTCTTGCTTCTAATGTATTGATAAAAAGTCTTCTTGTTTCCCTTTATTCCCGTAGCTAGTTTGAGCTCATTTTGTGCCTTTGCCTTTCTAATCTTGCCCCTGCATTCCTGTGTTGTTTGCCTATATTCATCCTTTGTAATCTGTCCTAGTTTCCATTTTTTATATGACTCCTTTTTATTTTTTAGATCATGCAAGATCTCGTGGTTAAGCCAAGATGGTCTTTTGCCACATTTTCTATCTTTCCTAACCAGCGGAATAGCTTGCTTTTGGGCCCTTAATAGTGTCCTTTTGAAAAACAGGACCCCTCAGCTTAGGGTTTGGATTGGCCAAGGAGGAGGGCTCTACAGATAGGGAAGTAGAGATTGCTTTCTCTCAGACTTTATGTATCCAATGAAGAGAGCCTTCTCTAGTCAGGGCTTGAAGAGTTTCATTGTCTCCAAGCCCTAATTGGTTCACATGAAATCCTTTGAAGTCAAGGGGAAAAAGCTGGACCTTAAGTTTAAAGCTATGTCTGCTGGGTGTGAAAAGTTTTTCCGAGTAACCCCATGCCCTGGTCCCAGCCCCATTCTGTAGTCTCATAGACTTTAAGGTCAGAAGGGACCATTATGATCATCTAGTCTGACCTCCTGCACAACGCAGGCCACAGAATCTCACCCACCCACTCCTGTAACAAACCCCTAACCTATGCCTGAGTTATTGAAGTCCTCAAATCGTGGTTTAAAGGCCTCAAGGTGCAGAGAATCCTCCAGCAAGTGACCCGTGCCCCATGCTTTAGAGGAAGGCGAAAAACCTCCAGGGCCTCTGCCAATCTGCCCTGGAGGAAAATTCCTTCCCGACCACAAATACGGCGATCAGTTAAACCCTGAGCATGTGGGCAAGACTCACCAGCCAGCACCCAGGAAAGAATTCTCTGTAGTGACTCAGATCTCACCCTATCTAACATCCCATCACAGACCATTGGGCATATTTACCTGCTAATAATCAAAGATCAATTAATTGCCAAAATTAGGCTATCCCATCATACCATCCCCTCCATAAACTTATCAAGCTTAGTCTTGAAGCCAGATATGTCTTTTGCCCCCACTACTCCCCTTGGAAGGCTGTTCCAGAACTTCACTCCTCTAATGGTTAGAAACCTTCATCTAATTTCAAGTCTAAACTTCCTAATGTCCAGTTTATATCCATTTGTTCTTGTGTCCACATTGGTACTAAGCTTAAATAATTCCTCTCCCTCCCTGATATTTATCCCTCTGATATATTTATAAAGAGCAATCATATCTCCCCTCAGCCGCCTTTTAGTTAGGCTAACCAAGCCAAGCTCTTTGAGTCTCCTTTCATAAGACAGGTTTTCCATTCCTCGGATCATCCTAGTAGCCCTTCTCTGTACCTGTTCCAGTTTGAATTCATCCTTCTTAAACATGGGAAACCAGAACTGTACACAATATTCCAGATGAGGTCTCACCCGTGCCTTGTATAACGGTACTAACATCTCCTTATCTCTACTGGAAATACCTCGCCTGATGCATCCCAGGACCGCATTCGCTTTTTTAACGGCCATATCACATTGGCGGCTCATAGTCATCCTGTGATCAACCAATACTCCGAGGTCGTCGTCCTCCTCTGTTACTTCCAACTGATGTGTCCCCAATTTACAACCAAAATTCTTGTTATGAATCCCTAAATGCATGACCTTGCACTTTTCACTATTAAATTTCATCCTATTACTATTACTCCAGTTTACAAGGTCATCCAGATCTTCCTGTATGATATCCCGGTCCTTCTCTGTATTAGCAATACCTCCCAGCTTTGTGTCATCCGCAAACTTTCTTAGCACATTCCCACTTTTTGTGCCAAGGTCAGTAATAAAAAGATTAAATAAGATTGGTCCCAAAACCGATCCCTGAGGAACTCCACTAGTAACCTCCTTCCAGCCTGACAGTTCACCTTTCAGTATGACCCGTTGTAGTTTCCCCTTTAACCAGTTCCTTATCCACCTTTCAATTTTCATATTGATCCCCATCTTTTCCAATTTAGCTAATAATTCCCCATGTGGAACCGTATCAAATGCCTTACTGAAATCGAGGTAAATTAGATCCACTGCATTTCCTTTGTCTAAAAAATCAGTTACCTTCTCAAAGAACGAGATCAGGTTGGTTTGGCACGATCTACCTTTTGTGAAACCATGTTGCATTTTGTCCCAATTACCATTGACCTCAATGTCCTTAACTACTTTCTCTTTCAAAAATTTTTCTAAGACCTTGCATACTACAGATGTAACCTTGCAGGTCTCCAGTTCTGTGTCCACACAACCATGCTGTATCCATAAAGGCATCCCTGTTCCTCACTGATTTTTCCAGCCTTGAAGCCACAGACAACCTTGCTCTCCAGCTCAGCTCTAAGCTGCCCTTCACCCTGGCTCCTTCCATGACCCTCAAGGCCAATGCTACCTCCCTACTAAGATTTTAAAAAACTTACCCCAAAATCATTCTCAGAGCTGGGACTCCCCTGCTGTTATAGTATATAGCAAGTCAACAGTAGGCAGAGGAGGGAAGTTGTGGACTTGGATAGCATTAAGGAAGTCAGTGTGATGGACTGGCTAGAGGCTATTGTAGAATGGGGATGGAGCTGAGGAGCAGGGATTTTTTGGAGGCTGGAGCTAGTCAACCTGTGGAACTCTTTGCCAGAGGATGTTGTGAAGACCAAGACTATAACAGGGTTCAAAAAAGAACTAGATAAATTCATGGAGGATAGGTCCATCAATGGCTATTAGCCAGGATGGGCAGGTCTGGTGTCCCTAGCTTCTGTTTGCCAGAAGCTGGGAATGAGCGACAGGGAATGGATCACTTGATGATTATCTGTTCATTCCCTCAGCGGCACCTGGCATTGGCCACTGTCGAAAGACAGGATACTGGGCTAGATGGACCTTTGGTCTGACCCAGTAAGGCCATTCTTATGATTGGGTGATAGCAAGTCTGGTAGCTGGAGCCAGGAAGCAGGGCTCATCTGAAGGTTAAAGAGCAAGAAAGAGAGTCTAGCAGGGAAGAGGGGCCTTATATTGCAGACAGTGAAGCAACTGAAGTTTGAATTTACAATTTTAAATGCTTCAATTCTTAAATGCTGTGCTGTAGCCAGTAGAGAGGAAGGATAATCTAGTGGTTAGGGCAGTGGCCTAGGACTATGGAGAGCTGGGTTCAAATCCTTTATTGTTATCTCTGTGCCTTAGTTCCCCATCTGTAAAATGGGGACAGTAGCGCTTGCCCTACCTCAGAGAGGGGTGTTCTGAGGATAAATATATTAAAGATTGTGTGGCGCTCAGATACTATGGTAATGGGGGCCATTATAAGTACCAGAGAGATTAATGACAAGAGGGTATCTCTTGATGTAAATAGAAGCAGTTATAAGTGATGTAAATAACTTTATTTTTATTTTTTAAACTTCCTTTTATACTGAATTTTTTGTACATATACTTAGTTTCAGCTGTTAAGGCCAAGGAATTTGTAAGTTAGAGAGATCTGAGAAAAAAAATTGAGTAGGTGCACATTTCAAAAGGAGGTCATTTGAAATGACTTCAGATTCCAGAAGTGATCACCAGAAAATTAACCATAGGAGAAACTGGCATAAGTTTTCTGATCATATATCTAATTTTCAGACCTGACTATGGGATTTAGTCACCATTGTAACTGCAGATCTCAGTACTATGGAGCTGCCAACAACACCTCCATATGGTCACATTTATATATTAGTCTTTACAGAATCTGTCATCTCCATCCCATATGTTCTGTGGAGCAAAACAGATGCACTAATAGTCTGACCATACACCTCACTTTCCTGAAACAATTATTTTTTAAACAATTAAACCTAATTGTTTGCCTAAATCTAGGTATACTTAATCCTACCTGAGCATGGGGGTAGGGGATAAACTAGATGATCTCTTCAGGTCCCTTCCAGCCCTATATTTCTATGATTTTAAGAAGCATATCAGTTAAATCATTGCTGGTGCTAGCCCATTGGGGGGCCTTATGCAGAAATTTTTCCCCCTGATCACACAGAACACATACTAATAATTAATACGGAGCCCCCTTAAGCTACTTGGGGCCCTATGCAATTGCTTAGTGTGCTTATGCCTAGTGCCGGCTCTGGGTTAAATTCAGTTAACTTAAAAAAGTTAATTAAGGGTTTCTGAATCAGCATTGGCTTTTAAGATATTGGAGACTCTCAGTGAAGTTAGTCTGGAGCTAGTGGATTAAGTTCCAGTCTACTCCTGTATGTAATGAAGCTGCATCTGTTCATCATGACAGTGAATTATCACGTTTTGTGTTGTGATGGCACCTAAAGAAGCAGGTCCTTTTAAATGCTCATCAGGTTGGGCATGAAATTAGACAGATGAAAATTTGGGATTGTTGCATTAATTTTGAGAACACTTCTCCCCTTTAGCCTTTGGATATTGCAGATACATAGAACCAGTCTCCTACCAAATCCATATCTCCTACATTTTTTATCTATAACTCTTAAGTCATTCCTAAAGTGAGCACCTTCTATGTAGCGTTTGTTATAGATTTATTTCTGCCTAATGACTCTCATAGAAATTCTAAGGAAAAAATGTCACAATTGGAACAATTAGACTACAGATGGTACAAACTAAGGAATAAAATAGTTGGTTTCAAAGTATTATGCCTTCTGGTTTTAGGTAGCAGTGATGGTTCAGAACTTAGTGAAGAGACTTCATGGCCAGCATTTGAAAGGTAAGAAAAACTGCTACATCTAAACCTATATCTCCAACTCCATTCAGACCTCACTAGTTTAAACCTATCACTCAACTCCTTGCAAATGAAGTGTAATGTTAGTGGTGTGCAGAACTCAGTTATGTAATAAACTGGGTAACAGCCATTGCTTCTAGAGTACAGTGTACCCTTTGGTTCTTGTCAAGCCAGTTTAGGGGGCAGCACCTTCTGGTTATCAGCTAACAGAGAGCTTTGTCACCTTACTGGCTTATTGCTCAACTTTGTCTCCTGAATTAACTGGACCACCACCAAACCCCTGACAGATTTCCTTTTCATGAATACCAGCATTTCCTGTTCAATATCCTCAACACCATGTGCCTCTCCTGTTTCAACATGTTCACTATCCCTCAGACCTCCTCTCTGTATCTCTTGTATTCCTGGCTCCCTGAATTCCCACCAAAGTCCTGCTGTTCTGGCTGCTCCTTCCTCTGCTGCCTGCTCTCTCCTATTCCCCCCTCCATCTCCTGATTACTCCTCTGTCTGCAACTCGGGGAAATCCTGAAGCAATCCCAGCTATCGCTACCTATCCTATGTAATGTAGACTTTTATATCATGCTCATTACCATAGTATATAACACTATCCAGGTGTCATTGACCACTGTAATCCAACCCCCCAAGTATTCAAGAGTGAGATGAGGTGTTAAATAATTACAGTTGAAAATAGTAAAAATTGGAAACCTAACGTTTTCCTGTAAGCTATTAAGTTGAACCATGAATAAAGTGTACTGAGCCCACTACGTATTCACCAAACAGTCTGCTGGGTAACATGGATTATAATTCTCTCTCTCATATTCAGGGAACCCATTAATCTGGAAACTGACTGGGGTAACCATGCCCACGTCTATGCATGGAGACATGGATAGAAATTTTGGCCTAAGGACTTTGTTTATAGCCAGGAACTGTATCCCTTCCCAGTGTTCTGCCTTTGTCTTGTAGAAGCAGTTCAGATTGTATAAATTCCTTATGGAGAGAGATTTAAGTTGTGCTTTGTACCAAAGGTGAACTCTTCAATACCATCTCTTCCTATAAAATCTGTTATTTCCATGGAAGGAGCCCCTAAGCATCCAGTGGATGAGAGGCTAGAACAGTCTCTTCAGAGAAGCAGACTACCTTGGCTACCCTGCATGCAGCTATAGCATACAGCATCATTTAGAGATTCCCTGAAGTGCTCAAGTCATCTATATTGATATTTAAACAGAACAAAGTCAGAAAGAAGAGGATCTGGAACTTGCATATAACCCATTCCTATATGTGATGCAGCTTGTGATATCACAAAGTTTTCTTTCTGCTCTTCCTACTTTGCTCCACTCTTGCCAGGAAGAGTAAGGTCCTGAGATGTGGGTATCATATTGAGTGTCCATTTGATTCAAGTTCCCTTTGATGGCCAAAAATTATATGGGGAAGCCTTAGATACAGTGGTGAAAGAAGCCATGGATCTGAGTAAGCTTCCTCTGGCCCAAGGAAGAGACACATTTCTTCCTCAAGGGCAAAAAACTTAAAGATTCTAGCAAAACATCAGAACCTAATCCTTTCTTGTCTCCAAAGGAAAAGAGTACTTCTCGTGGCCCTTATCTCAAGAATCCAGAAGAAAGCAGGTTATCTCCAGTCCCTCTCCCAATAAATAATGAGAATTGGATGGATCAGACTCTCTCCCCAATTGGGGGCAAGTTGAAAAGTTTGCTGCAGGTTTGGGCTGAAACTATCCAGGACAAATGGGTTTGTGCCTGAGCATCATGGCTACTACATAGAATTTTTCATCCTGCATTCATCACCAAATTCCACATCCTTTTGACGCTTCCCTCTGTCCTGACCAAAGAGCAAGCTTTTTTGGACCCTATTTGATGTAACCTCTTTTTGAGGACATTTTCTCTTGTCCGATCCCAGGAAAGGAGCTTAGATTCTTCATGGACACTGAGAACATGTATGAGACCTTCATAAGTATGGCTTATGTCTTTCAATCACTGAGATGGTGGAGCAAAGCTAGGAACTTGATGGGGGATGCTTTGACTGAAATGCCTAAAATTAAAGGTCACTGTGGTGCCTGCCTGAACAGTTGGAAAGTTGTACAGTAGAGTTCCATTCTTGTTATGGAAAAAAAGGTCCCTTTGTGAATAAAGGAGAAGCATCAATTAGTTGGAATTGCTAGCCATTAGCAAAACCATGACTCACCAAATGCCCTTCATGACTGCTACCTCCATCCTGGTTCAGAGCCAGGGAGAGGGAACTGAAAGTCGGTGCCCTTCAGTTTATCTTCCAGAGTGAGGGGAGTCAGCAGATCAACGTATTTGCTTCAAGCAACAAAAAATTGTACTTTTTCTATCTGAGGCAGTGGGAGAGCAGGATATGGAAGATAAATTGTTCTAATTCAAGTGGACATACCATTTTATGTGCACCCATTCTTTTTCCTTTCCTGGCTTAGGTAACCAGAAAATTCAAAAGGGATGGGGCCTGAGTCCTCTTCCTTGTTTGCTTATCAAATGCTTTTTCTCCTGAAAAATGCCCTCTGTGGAGGTTACCTATTTCCAGAGACTTGATAATGCAATGATTAATAAGTTTTCAAGGCTCAGAAGTTTAAACTGGCAGTCTGGAACTTAATAGTAAGCTTTAAAAACTTGGGATCTGGATCAACTAGTCAAGATCCTCTTGTGGTCCAGAAAAGATCTGCTGTGTTTTAAAAGGTGTGTATGTTGAACACGGTCTCACTTCAGAATCAATGTCAGTCAAAACCTGTCTTAGCTACTTACTTGGTAGATTCACTAAAACTAGCCTAAGGGTGTTAGATGCCTAATTTCCTTAGGCACTTTTGGAACTTTGTTGGTATCTTACTTGTAACTGCAGTAAGAGCCCTCCACTTATCTATGAGGAAAAGTTAGTTTTTACCCTCCTATCCTTTTTGATTCACTAAATTACTCCTGGGGGAATTCTATGCCACTGCACATACACAGAATTTATGTCCCCTTCAGATTTTTTTGCTTCCCCGCAGAAAAATGACTTTCTGACAGGGAAGCAAAAGGAAGATGAGAGCGGTCATGCAACCCTCCAGCAGTATGACCCTCCGGCGGGGGTGGGACTGGGGAAGACATGGCTGGTGGCTCCTACCCTGCTCCAGGCTCAGTTGCTAGTCCCAGCTGGGCTGTGAAGGATGGGACTTCCTTTTCCCCTGCACGGCATCTGGGGCTGGGTCAGATCCACCCCCAGATTTCTCCCCCAGCTAAAGGAAACTCTGCAAACTCCCTCCCCCCGTTTCCTGCACCCATCACTCCTCAGCTGCAGGGGCAAGGATCCCTGTACAGGGAGCTCCTCCCACATCTGCCCAACTCCCATGCATCCAGACCCCCCCTCATACTCAGACTCTCTCATCAAGTCTCACCCCTCTGCACTCAGAACACCCCCCTCAATGAGCCCCACTCCCCCTACACCTGGACCACCCCAACGAGCCACCTGCACCCGGATCTCCACCCCACCAAGCCCCAACCATCTGCGCCTGGATCCCCACACCACTGAGCCCCACTCTCTCAGCATCTGCCCCCCCAGCCTTCCCCAAATCCAGCCCTCCCTGCTGAGCTCTATCCCCACCACACTCAGACGAACCCCCCACTTCCCCCTCCCCGACTGAGTCCCAACCACTTTCACCTGGACTCCCCTGCAGACTTCCATTACCATTGCACCCAGAACCCCCCAACAATCCCCTGTGCATCCGGATCCTCTGCTGAGCTGCCCGCACACAGATTGCCCCACACCTGTCCCCCCAAACTAAGCCCTTCCACACTTGGATCCTGCCTTGCTGAGCCTGCCTGCCCACACCTGGTGTACCTGGCATGGAGGGTCAGGGCCCTGGGGTGTTTCTGGGGCAGGCCCGGACCTTGCACTGTGTCATGATTGAGTTCAGCCTCACCGCTGAGTCCATGTCTGGAGGAATGGGGGGGCTGGACAGTGATCTCCCACCTCCGTGCAGCCAGTGTCCTGTGCTCCCCAGTGCCATGCTGGAGCCTCCACATTTATTTGACAAATAAAATTTGCAGAATTTTAAAATATTGTGTGCAGAATTTTTATTTTTGGTGCAGAATTTTTAATTTTTTGGCACAGAATGCCCTCAGGAGTAACTAAAACATGATCAGAATTACATCTTTCAATTAAAGCTCCTGCAGCCAGCTGGGAGCTCAACTTAGTACAGGGACAATTGATGCAACAGCCCTTTGAACTAATGGCTATGACTTTGTTGTCTTTTCTTGTCAGTTGTCATTACATTGTTGTCATTACTTCTTCAAGGAGGGCCAGTGAATTCAATGCCTTGGCATTAATAACTTTTTTTGTTTATTTTGTTTATTTTGTTTTGGGCCCCACACTACAAGAAGGATGTGGAAATATTGGAAAGAGTCCAGCGGAGGGCAACAAAAATGATTAGGGGTCTGGAGCACATGACTTATGAGGAGAGGCTGAGGGAACTGGGATTGTTTAGTCTCCAGAAGAGAAGAATGAGGGTGGATTTGATAGCTGCTTTCAACTACCTGAGGGGGGGTTCCAAAGAGGATGGAGCTCGGCTGTTCTCAGTGGTGGCAGATGACAGAACAAGGAGCAATGGTCTCAAGTTGCAGTGGGGGAGGTCTAGGTTGGATATTAGAAAACACTATACCACTAGGAGGGTGGTGAAGCACTGGAATGCTTTACCTAGGGAGGTGGTGGAATCTCCTTCCTTGGAGGTTTTTAAGGCCCGGCTTGACAAAGCCCTGGCTGGGATGATTTAGTTGGGAATTGGTCCTGCTTTGAGCAGGGGGTTGGACTAGATGACCTCCTGAGGTCCCTTCCAACACTGATATTCTATGATTCTATAATCTTGATTTTTACTCAAGGTTGTTTCTCCTTACCACTTAAATTGGTATATTTCACTCCCTTTATTTCCCCCAATACTTCCCATCCTAATGAAATAAAGTGGCATTGTCTGGATGGTCTGCCAAGATATTATTCTACTCAGGCAGAGCAAGATCAAAAGCCACAATCTTTCAATAAGTCTAAGCAGGACTTGTAAAATTGTATAGATGAGCAGATGAAACTCCCCTATTTAGTTTGAACTAATTCTATAAAATCTCTATTTCATGGATAGAGGGAAATACAGCTTCTTATGGGAAACACTGCAAAATGACAACCTAGCATCTTTTCACTCATTTATAAAACACGGTTGAATGTGTTCTTCATCTTCAGCTGCTCGCTTTGGTTGTAGTATCTTGCAGATTGCCATCCTCGCTTGATCTCTGTTTGACTTTCTCTCCCTCCCTCTTCTGAGTTCCTGACTGCTTTCTAATTCCTAATATTCCATTTCCAGACTGATGGATTACTTGTGTATGAAAATGAGACAATTTTGTCCTTACCTACAATTTGTTGTTTTATGGCAGGGAATTGGTCAGTCTGGATTTTCTCTCCCTCATAGTGATAGCTATATTTAGGTTGCCTAAGGCTTTCCATTATAAAAAGTTCTGGTGATTTTTTTTTTTTTGAGAAGCTCTACCACTCCTCTTGTTTGAAGCAGGCTTTTGAAGCTCATCAGGGAGAAAGCCTTCAGGCTAGAGAAGTGCCTTTTCTGTGTCGCTTGAAATTCTGTTCAGTTTTGGCTAAGATATAAACCAGATCTAATCACCATTTCTCCTCAATCATACTGTCAGCAAAATTTTGTCAGCGTGTTCCCTCCTCCGGGTGGTTGTACCCCAGCATGTAGATAGACCAGTGGTCTGTCATCTCAAGTGCTGGTGGGCATAGTTACCAAATATAGTTTTTATCCAGATTGATCGATTCCTTGTTATGCAAAGACAAATTAAAAGATTAGAACAAAGCTTATATCCATCATTTACATGGAAGATGGATGCAAGTCATAAATCTCTCATCTATATATGTTGTTGATGCAACAGTTGTATTTAATTTTTAAAAATTATAAGCATAAACGTTTAGCTGTCTAAATCATTAGGGTTTTTTAGAAATTAAAAAGAAAAATCTGACCTTATCAAATTTTGCAAATTCAAAGATACCTAGGTTGCTGAAGGGCAGAGATTAATTATTTAGAACACAGTTTCCTTGAGGGGGGAGAATAGGGTGGAAATCTATATTTATAGTACATCTATGCTGAGGTTTCTTATTACAGCATATGAAATTATTTGAGTTGGTAAGGGAGTGTAAACTTTATATTTTGTTTAACCTTTTTGATATTACTGTGTTTTCTTCAGTACTGCTATTAATTAATCAACATATCATCACTGACTTCAGTGGAGCTACATCAATTTACACTAGCTATGGATCTGACCCTATATAACCAGCTTTGAATCAGGCACAGAATAATATTCAGAAGATAAGTTTAGAAAATAAGTGCTGAAATTGGGTAGCAGTACTGAAAACAGCAGTAGTGAAGGGCTCAAAAATTTAAAACTTCCTATGTTACGTTTATACTCCCTTTAAACTGAATCATTGAGATATTACAGGTTTGCTGTCTCTTAGAGCTTAAATAATTTGCATTTGACCTTGGAACCATAATATATTAAGCCACAAATATCATTCACTAACAAGATTTTGCCAATAAAGGTGTATCCAAGTGAAGTATCTGGTTTTTTTTAATGTATAGCATTTTAAATAGATATTGTCTCATAGCAGAGTGTATGTGATTTTCTTTGTAAGTTGACTTCAGTGGTTGATTTGGAAATGGTGCCAATACTCAGGATTGAGTTAAGAAGTCTTTGTATTCCTCTAACTACTGTTGCTTGTGTGCCTATTTCTAAGTTTAGGGGCCTTATTGCCCTTTGCTTCTTGTCACAGAGTCTGTAGCAGTATCTATAGTCAGCATTAAAGGCAGCAGTTTGCAACCTAGTTCCTTATAGTATTTTCATTTTTATTTTGTGAGTTAAAAGAAGCTTTTCTGTTCTCAAAACCCATTAATTGAGATGACAATAAAAATACCCCAGTGTTATGAGCACTGACATCAAGAACATCTGTTCAAATAAGAAATGTAGATTTTGAAATCTACAACTGCATGTTTTTTTCTAATGAAATCATCCACTACTGCTTATTGTAGGAGTGGTAGTTATGTGGCACAAGAGACTTTATTACACTGTTCTAGCAAATTATGCTGCTTTTGTGGATAAAAGTATATGTAATATATACAATTTATAATGGAATCCAACAGGAACAGATTATACCATTCTCTCGGTCCGGTGACAAGAGTGGCACGAAATGGCTATCGAGGCCACATGAAGGCCAGCAGGTACAATAATCCCCTGCATCCAGGGGTCACAGATTTTTCCTCTGGTGTTGGTGACTGGCTTGATAATTAAGTGGGTGTCTTCTGACATTTCTGATCTTTCTAATTTTCAAGGCAAAATTACGGTAGTGACTTATCCTTAAAACAGAAATTTTCTCTTCTGTGATTTGATCTATTTCATCATACAGGCTCTGGCTCATTCTGTTCTGCCTATCCAGTTTCTAAATATTGTATCTCTACATCAAGACTTAAAGATGCTTTACTATAGGTAGCTTTTTAACAGTGTAACTCTATGTGGTGGTGGTAGAAACCATGTTGGCAACAAAACGTACTACTTGTGCTTGAGACTGTGTCCAAGGTGTTTTCTTTGTTAATAATTCTTCATTGAACTTGCCTTTAAAAAATGGCTGACTTGGTTAAATTGCAAGTCATGAATTAAAATTGGCCCTCTGTGTGGCCAGACTCATTCTAAATAGCACTATATATAAAACTGCATGCTCACTCAGCTTTTCATTCTGTCTAATTAAATTACAACTCTGTCTGCAGCAGTGTGGTACTGGAGTTGTAAAAGAGAAGGGAATAACTCTTATGTACTAATGAGTAGCAAGCGTTGCGTGTAATTGAGTTAAATTCATGTTCATATCCGTGTCTGAATTTGTCAGTATATCACTGTCAATTAGTAGGTGTAGTGAAAATGTTTGCCAGATTTCTGAGTTATTTTGCATATGCATAACTGTTGTGATGGGTTAATAGATTAATTCTGGTTTACTTCAACAGACATGTCAAAAATCTGTAGTTTCTCAGCATATTTTTAGAGAGCTGATAAATACACCAATTTAATTATGTAAACTGGTTGATATAAACTGAAATTATCCCTGTTGTGAAAATAAGAATCTTTCCTGTTTTAAAATAATTTGTAAGCCAGTCAGTTGCTCACTTTTAATAAAGTTTTGGTTTCCTTTTCACCATACCAGGCATCTGTTTTTGGCATATTCTTTTTGGGCACCATTTAGATTGATAGGGAATTAATAGCACACCAACTGCATTATAACACACACAATTTACTGCTGTGGGCCAGGTTTTCTGCTGTCTATTATTGATGTCCTTTACTGCTCTCAAATATCTTATAATTATTGTGCATGTTTTGTTGAGCTTTTGCTGTGGATTTTTTATTTTATTTTTTGTAATTTGACTGACTCAAATGATTTTAATAAAAAATCCAGTTTTTCCCACTAGGACTTAGGAAAAGATTCTAATAAAATATTGCAACAGTGATACAACATTACTTGTTCAGGGAGTAATGACAAATCTATAATTATTTACCAATTAGAATTAGTTATAGTTGAAATATAACTGTATCCTAAGCTTTGGGAAGTGCATTTTAAAATCATGCACCACCTTCTGGCCTCATAAATTTGTTATTCCTCTGCAGCATGGCGATGGGTCACTTGCAGGTTTAAACTAGAGTAAATGGTGGATTCTCTGTAACTTGAAGTCTTTAAATCATGATTTAAGAACTTAATTAACTCAGCTAGAGCTTAGGGGTCTATTACAGGAGTGGGTGGGTGAGGTTCTGTGGCCTGCAGTGTGCAGGAGTCAGACTAGATTATCATGATGGTCCCTTCTGACTGTAAAATCTGAGTCACAGGTTATGTCTACTCTACCCCTTATGTCACTCAGGGGTGTGAATAAGCCCCCCCACCCCCCCTCAGTGACATAAATTACACTGAGCTTGGAGCTGGTGTGGACAGCACTATATCGGCAGGAGAGTTTCTCCCATCAATATAGCTACTGCCCTCATTAGGAGATTAATTAAGTTGATGGGAGAATGCTATTCTGTCAGCTTAGAGTGGCTACACTAGAGCTTACAGTGGCGCAGCTATACTGATGTAGCTGTACCATTATAAGCTCTCTAATGTAGCCATAGCCTGAGTAATCATTTACTTTTGCTTGTGACTGTAAATTCCTCAAGAGCAATCCCTCATAGCCACCAAAGTCTTTTTCCATGATGAAGTCTAATAAATAAAATGTCAGCATTTCTAAATTAAAGTACAGATGTTTACATTATGTTTGGGTAATGATTGGAGTACTGCTTTGGGTAAAGGATATTTATATATTTTTCGTACTATTTTCTCACATGCTTCTTGTAGTTCTGCAGAATCTGAAGATTTGGCTGTTCATTTGTATCCAGGAGCAGTTACTATTCAAGGTGTTCTCAGGAGGAAGACTTTATTGAAGGAAGGCAAAAAGCCTACCGTAAGACTTCAAATATATGCTAAACCATTTTTCCTCTTTCTCTATTTTAAAATGATATCTTTAAAACAGAACAAAGCTACTTGGTTAAAATCTGGAAGCCTTTACTCACTTTTTACTCAGTCCTTACTGAAACAGAACTCTTGCTAAAATCAGTAGGAATTATGATCAAGTAGGAACTGACTAAAAAGTGAGTAAAGACTTCAGTATTTGGTACCTTATATATTTGTCACTTACAAAGGCTCCTGCTCCTAGATTTGATTTTTTTGGAATTCATGTGATTTGTCTAAATCAAGGAATTACTGTTATGGAAGTTGATCTTCTTTGTTCCTTCAAAAGTATTCCATTAATCCTAAATTAACATTTTTCCACTTGCATAAATGGTATAACTTATAAATACATTTAACTTACCATAGTATAACTTACTATCTATCCATATCCACTGCTAAAAGAAAAAAAATCAAAATACCTTTAGAGGGCAAGAGCCTGGCAACTATTGATATTAAATAGAAATATTATTAAAATATTAGTGTTGATATATCTATAGACACAAGAGAATTCACATTTACAGCCTGTACAGTTTTATTGCCTCTTCCTTGCATACACAGTCTATAACTTCATACATTGTTGAGACACCTCTACAATGCCTGAATTAAATAAAACTGGATATATTAAGGAGGAAATGGCATCCTTCTCTGAACTTCTTTGCTTTAAACTATAATGGTAACACACCGTTAATGATATTTATGTGTGTAATAATTATATTTATAACTGCCAGACACCCCCAAGCCAAAGCACTTGGAATACTGCACGATAAGGTACAATACAGGGAACCCATGCTTCAGTTGAATCCATGTGGATGGACTCTTGTGTCTGTGCCATTGATTCAACTGCCAGCCTGTGCAGATACAATTGCAACATCTAGGACCTTAATTTTTCTTGATTTAGCAAATAAGTATTTCTCCAGAAGTAACGTATCTATTAGATTATTGTAGATTTACACCACAAAATTCCTTGGATTTTATTTACATTTTTAGACCTACATATTTTTCTCCTTAATCCAAGTAGGTTTTTCAAACTTCGTCTCCCAAAAAATGTTCTTTGCTGGAAGGTGTCTTTATATTTCCTTTTAGTAACTAGAATGTCAATTTTGCGGCCATTCATATCCAACTGGAGTATGGAAGTGCTAACCATTTGTTTCCCTTTCCCTCCCATCCGAAGAGTGAACAGACTAAGCAACCTGGAGTACAAAATGTCATTATTCCCACTCATTTATTGCTAGATCTTTGATGATGTAAATTGGCATAGTTCCATTGACTGAGGGAGCTATCCCAATGTATACCAGCTGAGAATCTATCCCTTATAGATTATTTCTGTATTTTGACATATTTGACATATTTTGTCTATAAATGTGATTCTTGGATATCACAAGCACAAATATCATATCTATTTCTATACTTCTCATTTATTTGCAAGCCCAGTCTATCATAAATGTCCTTGTTCTAATATATTAATTTATGCATGTGTTCAACTAATTAAAAGTATTGCAAATGATATTGTAATGTAAATACTTTAACTTTATTTGCTCTGAGTTTATTCATTTTATATATTAAAAATACCAAAATATCCTTGTTTGCTAAATCTATTGATATTAACGAGTGTGTGCAGAGCATCATAATGAGTCTTTTAAAACTGCTGGGATTTGTCAACAAATAATAGTGTATTCTGCATAAATATTTCATATATTACAATATTTTAGTACATAGTAAATTTAGAGAAATAAGATAATTGACCATTTAAGAGTCATTATGTATTAATTATTGAAATATAGTATGAGTGTATGCAAATTAAAGAGTAAATGTTTGCAGCACTTTTTTTTAATCATCTTGATGTATAGTTCCACAAGAAGAAGAAAAGCATCTCTGTGCTTTAATAATTAGACATTTATGATGCCTGGCATCAAGGTGTTATAATGCTGATATCATACAGTAAATAACATTGCTTTTTGTTAATATTGCTTCTATCAGCAGCTGGTCTGGAAATTTCTTTTTATTTAAACATGGTAATTTCAACTGACAATTTGCTAACAAAGAGCAGCACATCAAAAATAATCAGTGTAGCTTTTTATAAGCCATCACAAATGCCTATTATTGTAACTCAGTTGGCTTGCTGTCTGTGGTTAGAAGCAATGTTATAGTTCCCACTACACTAGTTGATAGAGATGGTCACGTTGTGATAGACTTTGAATCCATTGAGAGGAAGACAATTATACCACTATATAAGCATCACCTGATTAATGGTGACTTTGGAACAGAAAGCATGTTCTTCGAGTGCTTGCTCATGTCAGTTCCATTCTAGGTGTGTGCGCGCGCGCCCACGTGCACAGTTGGAGATTTTTGCCTTAGCGGTATCTATAGGGTCAGCTGTGGAGTGCCACACTCATGTGTCGGTATATAAGGTATCGCCAGCCCTATGTCCTCTCAGTTGCTTCTTACCGCCCATGATGGTTGGTCGGTGCGACTTTTTCTCCTTGCCTAGCAAGTTGGTTAGCAGTTCTCTCCTTCCTTCAAACTTTTAGTGTCTTGTAAATAGTTTGTTTACAGTAGTTAGTTAATAAGTAGTAGTAAAGTAGTGTAGTTAGTAAGTTAGAGTCCCGGTGGGGACTTTGCCCCAGGCGGGGTATGCCCCGGTTTCCGGGTTTTAAGCCCTGTTCTGCCTGTACAGGCCTATGCCTGTTAGTGACTCCCACATCAGCTGCCTAAAGTGCTTGGGGGAATCACATGTGAAGGACAAATGTCGCGTCTGTAAGAACTTTAGTCCGAGAACACAAAAGGAGCATGACATCCGTTTGAGGGCCCTCCTCGTGGAGGCTGCTCTCCATCCGGCGTTGGAGCCCTCCCAGCACTTCGGCCTTGTGCGTAGTGCACCCCCAACACTGGGCTTTGCCCAGCAATGCTCCCCTTTGCCAGTGCCCAAGAAGAAATTGAAAAAATGCGACTCCCCAGCACCAAGCAATAAAGGCCAACGGGTAAAGGATCCAGTTTGGGCTGCCTGCCCACCCCGGAGCTACATGGGTGTGCCTCCCTGATCAGACCCCTAGCCCTCTTTCCCCCCGCCCCCTCCAAGGGATCCACCACCGACTCTCAAGAGTGGTAGGGGACCCTAACTCATGGCAGGGCTGTTGTCTTCCCAGGCCCTACCAGAGTCCAGAGAGCAAAGGACTCTTCCAGTGCCACTGGCACTGCGCACAATGCTGGACCCAGCAAAGGCTCCCTATGAGGGCAAGCCAGCCGTAAACCGCCCACCCACCCACACACCCCAGAGGGCAAGCGAACACGCTGGTTCCTGAAGCTGAGGCAGCACTCTCCGTCTCCACAGTCCAGGTTGCCGGTTAGATGTCCTAGGTTGCTGGCACCACACTCGTGGTCTCCGCCTACTTGACACGGATCGTCCAGAGGGAGATGTTGGTCATAGTATGGCCGGCACTGGTTGTCTTCCCACCAGTAGTCTCCACGGCATAGATCCCCATCACCTAGACCACGGGAATGATCTCCGATGCGGTACCAGTCTCCTCACTCCCGACACCAATCTGCCTACGGTGATGGTTAGCCGTCAAACTCAGGCGTTGACAGCCCCACCATGATCACTGAAGGGCTCTGAAAGGGAGTTGAGCCCCACACTGAGGGAGCACCAGCACGAGTGGGCACCTGAGGCTGTGTCAACCTCCGCGATGCCTTCCTGGCAGCAGGACCAGTGGCTGGCACAGTGGCCCTACTGGAATGCATGGCGCATGCTGGTTATGCCAATGCCCTTTTCACACCACTCATCGGTTGCCACTTTGGAAAAGCAACTGGTGGCACCGGGCTCAGTGCGTGAAGCAGAATCGGATGCCAGGGGGAGGAGCGAATGCCCACTCCTAAAGTCTCTTCCCCCATGGGGGATGATGTCCTACACCCTCCCCGTCTCCAGATGAGGGTGTTGCGGGGCTCTCTCCTGCCAGCCCACTGGACAATTTTAAGGCGCCACCAGGCCCTGCTTCGAAGGATGGCCATGAACTCGGGCCTGGAGGTGGAGGAGATGGTGGAGCATTTGGACACCTTATTTACTATGCTCTTGGCATCAACCCCCTGACATGTCGTGCTACCGGTGCACGATGGGGTCTTAAAAATAACTAAAGCCCTCTGGCAAACCCCGTTTTCCATCCCGCCCACTTCCAAGAGGGTTGAAAAGAAGTATTTCATCCCACCTAAAGTGTTCGAATACCTGTATACCCACCCACCTTTGGGGTCACTGATTGTCTCTGTGGCCAATGAGAAAGACAGACGGGCAACCCAGTTCTACTCCCAAAAATAAAGAAGCCAAGAGGCTGGAACTTTTTGAAAGAAAAATGTATTCAACGGCCAGCGTCAGTTCAGGGTAGCAGACCACCAGGTTCTTTTGGGGAGATATAACTTAAACTTTTGGGATTCCCTCCATAAATTCGAGGATTCCCTGCCCCAGGACTTGGCCCAAGAATTCAGGGCCCTAATTGAGGCAGTGTAACAGGGCGACGACTCAGCCCTGCAGCACCTCCGGTCGGTCGTCCTAGGAATTAGCTCTTCGACTCTGGAGTGCCCTCTGCAGGCCGGTGTCCTGCTTCCCGCTGGGTCCCAAGTCCCTCTTGGACCCTGGTGCCCCTTTCAGACTGGGGTGCTGCCCCCTGCAGTACCCCGCAGTCTCACTGGGTCTCCCCTCCCCAAGGAGTCCCCACCCCCTATCCCCACCTCGCCTCAGTCGTAGGCTACTGCCAGTCACCAACTAGCCTCCTCTCCCTGGGGCAGACTGCAGTATAAGCCACTGATCACAGGCAAGGAGGGGTTTGGACCTGCTGTCTTAGCCTAGCCTTGGTTCTGTCCCGTACAACCCCAGTACCTATTTGGCCTTATACTAGGCCGCAGCCTGGGGGTTTCCAGGCCGGAGCTCCCCAGCTCCCTGGACCTTCCCCCAGCCCTGCTCCAGCTCAGGTACCTTATCTAGCTCCCTCTACAGCCAGAGAGAGACTGTGTCTGCTCCTGGCTTCACTGGCCTTTATAGGGCCAGCTGGACCCTGATTGGGGCGAGGCCCCCAGCTGAGGCTGCTTCCCCCAATCAGCCCAGCTTTTCCCCTGCCCTAGCCCTCTCCCAGGGCTGGTTTTAACCCCTCTGGGCAGGAGTGGGGTGACCATCCCGCTACAGGCAAGTACAGCAGTGGCTAGATGCTCCCTCCAAATGGCCTGGGACGCGGCTGATTCGGCTGCCAGGGTGGTCGCATCGGCAGTGGTCATGAGGCACAGTTCCTGGCTTCAGACCGCGGGCCTGTCCCAGGAGATGCAGTCCTCCATGCAGGACCTCCTGTTTGATGGGAATGGACTCTTTGCAGAACAAATGGATGCGAGGCTGCATGGACTGAAAGACACTCGGACAACCCTCTGCTTGCTGGGTCTTCGTACACCGCAGTCGGTGAGGAAGCAGTTCCAGCCGCCCCCGCCTCCAAGGTCTTGGCAGCCTCGTCAGGGATCTGCAAGGAGAAGGGACAGAGACATGAGTTTTTGTCGTCGCTGCCTTTCCTCTTCCTGTCACCTGCGCAGCCCAGCCTGGCGAAACATCGTGGGGAGCCAGAAGTGCTCATTTTGAGGGTGCGCTCAAGAGCAACACCCCAGTCCTCTTCTTGGATCTGCCTCATTCTTTCCTTAACTACCTATGTCCCTACTGTTCGGCCTGGTCACAGGTGACTTGGGAGCGCTGGGTGCTTGAAATTATATCCCTGGGCTACACTCTACAATTCTTAGCCGCCCCTTTCCCACCCCCCTTCCCTGTCCCTCTTCAGGGACCCTTCTCATGAGCAACTCCTCGTTCAAGAGGTTGAGAACCTCCTGCAGATGGGAACAGTGGAAGAGGTCCCTCGGGAAATGAGAGGAAAAAGGTTCTACTCCCGTTATTTCCTAATCCCGAAAGCAAAAGGGGGCCTAAGACCCATTCTGGACCTGCGGCACTTCAACAAGTCTCTCAAGAAGGTGAAGTTTCGCATGGTCTCCCTAGCCTCCGTCATCCCCTCCCTGAATCCAGGAGACTGGTACGTTGCCCTTGACTTGAAGAATGCTTATTTTCATATCTCCATCTTCTAAGGGTACAGACGATTCCTCTGCTTTATGGTGGGCTGGCACCATTTCCAATTCACAGCACTGCCATTTCGTCTCTCCTCGGCCCCGCAAGTGTTCACAAAATGCATGGCACCAGTGGCCGCTTACCTGAGGCGTCAAGGTCTATCTGTATCTCGACGATTGGCTCATCAAGGGCACATCTCGGGAACAGGTGCAAAGGAGCCTCGATCTGGTACATTCCATCTGCCACGACCTGGGCCTCCTGATAAGCAAAAAGAAATCAACCCTAAGACCTGTACAACGGATAGAGTTCACAGGGGCGGTCCTCAACTCTATGCGAGCCAGAGCTTTCCTTCCAGACACCCATTTCCAAGCCATGTTGGACTTAATTTCTCATGTAAAGGACCCACCCGCTCACCGCCGCTTGCACCTGCCTGCGGTTGTTAGGCCACATGGCAGCGTGTATGTACGTGGTCCATCATGCCCAGCTCCATCTCCAGCCATTGCAAGCATGGTTGGCATTGGTCTACATCCCCAACAGACACGATCTAGACCAGTGGTCACCAACTGGTCAATCGCGATCGACTGGTCGATCCTAGAGGATCTCCCAGTTGATCGCGATCTCCAGCGGGGCTGCTACTAAGACAAGCTCCCTGCCTGCCACGGCCCCACGCCGCTTCCAGAAGTGGCCAGTGCGGCCCTAGGGTCGCGGAGGGCAGGAGTCTCCCTTCACGCGCTGCTCTTGCCTGCAAGCACTGCCCCCACAGCTTCCACTGCGGTGCTCGCAGAGAGGGGCAATGCATGGAACCACGTGCTGCCGCCCCCTACCCGCCCCCACACACACATGCATAACCATGAACTCCAAGCCCACTTTCAGGAATACTGCTTGTGAGTTACATAGAATGGAATCGACATGAGCAAGCACTCGAAGAAAAAATGGTTACCTACCTTTCTTCGAGATGTGTTGCTCTTGTCCATTCCATTACCTGACCTCCTGCCCCTCTGTTTGAGTGGTTGGCAAGAAGGAACTGAGAGGGCTTAGGGCCAGTGGTTCCTAATATACCGACGCATGAGCTCGGCACTCCAGAGGGCACCAATGCCGACCCTACGGATACCGCTAAGGCAAAAATCTCTGACGACTGCGCACATACACCTTGAATGGAATGGACATGAGCAACACATCTCAAAGAACAGCAGTTACAAAAAGTCGGTAACTATTTTTTCTACCCTGCTCAATGGAGGATGAGTGCTGAAATGACAGCAGCTAAAATGGGTCTTAATAGTTGTTGTTACAAATATTTTGTGATAAATCAGTAATTTCCAAACAAGTCAATGTTCTAATTCTTGATGCTGCCCCTTGATGGCAAATATATCATTAAAAAGAAAAGGTATTTCTGTACCCAAAGTCAGTGCAGTATTGAATAAAAAGTCTTGGTAAAGTAGAGGAAATAAGGGGGGAGGGATAGCTCAGTGGTTTGAGCATTGGCCTGCTAAACCCAGGGTTGTGAGTTCTATCCTTGAGGGGGCCACCTAGGGGTCTGGAGCAAAATCAGTACTTGGTCCTGCTAGTGAAGACAGGGGTCTGGACTTGATGATCTTTCAAGGTCCCTTCCAGTTCTAGGAGATAGGATATCTCCATTAATTATTATTATTAGAAGTATTACCTTGTTTGATACCTGGATCATTAAGGTTTGATCAAGACCTCTGTGCACTACTTTCTTGATTCATACTGTGTTCCTGGGCATGTATTCTTAATCTAACTAGAAATAGCATCAGTGAAAAGGCAGCTCTTTTTGGCTGGGCTAGGTCCTGGGCAGTTGCTGCCCTAGGGAAATTTATGGGATGATGAGGTAAACATACATGCATTTTTAACAAGACAGCATAAAATATTTTGTTTCATTAATCTGTTCTCTCTCTTTCTCTGTAGGTAGCATCTTGGACAAAATACTGGGCAGCACTGTGTGGAACCCAGCTTTTTTACTATGCTGCAAAGTCTCTGAAGGCTACAGAGAGAAAACATGTATGTATTATAGTGCATCTCCCGACACTGCCAGCCAAAATTTAACAGTAAATGCACTTTCCTGATACTCACACCAACAGAATAATCCAGAACCTGCAAGTGAGCACTATCCTGTCCTTCAGTCAGTCTGTGTCATCTCTATGGATACAACTTAATAGAAGTAGGCACTGTAATAGGCTATACAGGGAACATCTACTTTGCATGTGTCATTTGGGCTCAGTGAAATTGTGTATTAAACACATTAGAGAAGACCTGGAAAGAAAGCAATGCTAATGGTCGTCTTGCGTTGTCACCTATAGACCATACCTTCCTACAATATCTGATTAGAACAGGGGTGGGCAAACTTTTTGGGCCGAGGGCCACATCTGGGTGGGGAAATTGTATGCAGGGCCGGGGCAGGGGGTTGGGGTGCGGGAGGGAGTGCGGGGTGTGGGAGGGGGTGCGGTGTGCAGGAAGGGGCTTAGGGCAAGGCATTGGGGCAGAGGAGGAGTGTGGGGTGTATGAGGGGGCTGAGGGCAGGGGATTGGGGTGCAGGAGGGGTGCGGGGTGCAGCAGGGGGCTCAGGGCAGGGGGTTGGGGTGCAAGAGGGGTGCAAGGTGCAGGCAGGGG